CGATTTGTGAGTCCGTTGTGTCGGATGTTGTTATGTTTGTTGTCGTCCCCCGGTGTTTAATGTACGTGTCCAGCAAAAAAAAAAAAAAAAAAAAAAAAAAAAAAAAAAAAAAAAAAAAGGCAAAAAAAGAAATAACGGAGGAACTGGATTGGTCCCGCCAGAATCCCCGCTTCGGACCTGCATTCTCCGTTTGGTCTTTGCAAACCGGTCACCGAGAGTCCGCCACCGTTTGCGGCAGACAGCCTCCTCTGTTTGCAACGGTTCTGCAATCTCCCTCCATGAATTTTTTGCCATTTGGCATTACTTGTACTCTGCAGTAGAGAAGTCATACAGATGTTTGTACCTCTGGACCGCCTCGGCAAGTTTCTCTTTGAAATTATCCATGTTTACAAACAAAAACCGGCCTCTGGAAAGCGAGTACCGGGTAGCGGAGTGATGCACCAAACAAAAACGCCCACAAACTTTGAACCAATCACACGCGCTGAGCAGCAACCTCCGCGTCTCGGAGTGCTGACTGGGGGCAATGTATCGGACAGCTGTCACCAGGGGATCGCAGCGGGAGTGCAGACAGAAATTGCGCAACTTTTTTTCACTCAGGTGGTAAAAGACGTACGACAAGAAGTATAAACCAGCCTCAATTCACAGTGTTGATTTCCTCAGAGTTGTCTCAACACTGGACAGTGTTAAATAAGCTCCGCCCACTATTAAGTCTTACATAACACTTAACAGTGTTGTTATATGACACCATGCAGWGTTGAAAGTATTCTGAAAAGCCCCGCCCTCTTCCACCTCATGTCATGTCAGTATTTTCTGAACAAGGAATGCTGGGTAATCTTGTACAAATTACGTGTTCCCATGTTTATGACTATTAAAGAAGGTCATGAGAGTAAAAATTTGTTGTTCTGGTTAGTTTTCTTGCTCAGTTTGATCAAGTTGTTCAAGTTTGTGTTGTTAGCCATAAATCGACACCACGAGTGAGAGGTACAATGTCCTGGTGTGTGAGGAGTGACTCCATTATACTTTAATGCTAAATACTGAGTAGTGTTAATGCAACACAAAGAGTTTGATTTAAACGCTGAGTGTTAAATTTACACTCTCAGGTTTATGATGTATTGACACCTTGTGGTGTCTGTTAACCTTTCAAACACCATAATTTCCTTTGTTGATAATAATACACTGCTTTTACTTTT